GAATGTTTTTAAAGAAAATATTACCCTTGTTTCCATAGGCAAAGTTATTCTTCCCATCCACTTCCATCCACTCAGTACAGTTATTGATTTATATTTTAACTGTAAATAAAACACACAGTGCAGTCTTCCAGAGTTGCCTAGACTGTCTTTTCTAGAACTTCATTTGAGAATTAGTAACACAGTTTTCTGGAAATTACACAGAATTGATATTCAAACTATACACAATTTAAAAGCATAAGTACATTTTATCCAAATCCTCAAAAAGTAGCTTACATTTTCAAGCCTGCTGATAATTTACCCTGCTAGATCACCCAAGAGGTTTGAAAAAGCAAATTTCTTAAATCTCAGCACCTTTCACTGTATTTCTTTGTCCATTTTAATGGAAAGGTTTTCTGTTTATTTGATAATATATTAAAAGTATGTTTCTTCCTATTGGATCTTTCCCAAGTGAGGAGAACTTTGTGTATAGATCTGAGTCAGTTTTTCAATTCCTCTCTTTTCTCAGGGAGATGGTTTAGGTCAATGGAAATCAACCAGACAGATGTGGTTTCTACGATGTCCTGACAAGCAGGATGACCTTCAACTTGTTACATGCTCTTCCCAAACCTGTTGCTTCTCATTTAAAATGAGTAATACTGGCATCTATGTATGTAAAGAATTTAGAATAGTGTCTGGCATTATAGTAAGCACTCTAAAATATCAGCAATTAGTGTTCTGCTCAAGACTCTTTGCATAGAGTAAATACCTTGGGTTCAGAACCACCCTCTTTGATTCAAGCTCCTCATTACAATAACTCAAAAATAGTATAACCATTTCTGTTTAGCCAATAAAATAGTTTCTTGTATCATATTGCATAAATCCAGGTTTGAACAAGGCTGGGCAGCAGAAATGTTGCTTTCTAACCTACCATACTTATTTGAGTACCCCTGGCTTGGAAGCTCATTAAAGTCTCAAGTAGAAAAAGAATTTATTAAATCAATTACTGTGCACAGATGAAACAACACATCATTGCTAATTACAGGACTGACTGGCACTGATGCAGGCATCTCTTTTATTCCCCTCAGCTTATGGCCCAATTAACAATTAACGGTGACTGATGTCCTGAAAGGAAGCCTTCTCTCTGCACTGCTGGGTTTTCTCAGCGGGAGTTAGGAATGAGATACTTGACAGAGTTTAGTCAAGGAGAAAACAAAAAAGTTGAAGCACTGTAGGAAATCACCTACTTTATTCATGGATAAAATACAAAATCATTAGACAACACCAACATAATCACTGACTTCATTCAGAAAAGGAAACATTTTACTTTTGCTAATTTTGGAAAGTTATGAAATATACCAGAAACTACTTTTTTCTTCATGCTTAAAATCAATAAGCACTTCTTTTATTCATAAGTTTATATTTGTAAGTTAAGAATATTACTTTTTAAATGAAAGTCTCTTATAAACACTAAACTCTACATTGAGGAATAAAATCCTGCTGAATTTGTCTGCACTGAAGAAACAGTTCCCCTCTATCCCTGGCACGGAGACCAGGCCTCTAGAAGTTTCCTCTTTGAGGATAAACAGTATTCAGAACTGTACACCAAGGTAATTGTTCTTAAATCAAGAAAATGCAATTAATTTCATGTAATGACACAAAAATTAACAAGATAAGATTGTGCTTGACTGAAAAACATGAATCCATGTCCAGACCTTCTCTCTATTTTGCTGTGGATGGCTACTGGCTAGCGACATATCGAGGTAAATTGTGGTCTTGGCCCAATTTTTTCTCCTTATTTTCTATTTCTTTTTCTGTTCAAGTCTTTCCCAGGTATCCTCTAGTCTACAAGTCATACTGTCTCCCAGAGTAAGATTCAGAGATCCATTAATTCTATATCTTCATTAAATAATTGTTCTTTCTTCTCTCATGCTTATATATGCATTAGTCTAAATATTAATAGCTAACAATGGTCAAACTCTTACTAGAAAGCAAAACCTAAGCTTAGAACTTTACCTACATTATTTCACTAAATCTTCACAATCACTCTATGAGACAAATAACATCACAACCCTATTTACTGATCAAGAAATCAGCTTAAGAAGATTAATAACCTGACTCAGGTCACCAACTAAAATTGGTCTTAAGTTCAGATCCTGACCTCAACTAATTATATTGATTTAAATCTAAATAGCCTGAGTGACAGGCATCTGAACAGACGAAGAAGAGGCCTGGGACAGGTTGAAAACACCAGCCGGAGCTGGCACTCTGAATTCTGTTTGTTCAACATCATTGTTGTGTGAGATACCTTGAAGGCCACACTGACTCACAGTCACCTAAAACGAAACCCTGCCTGATCCTATGCCAAGAGCACTTCCATGCCCCTTACAGGTGTATGGTAACTCTATTTCTGAATCTAGGTACTAGCATATCCAGTCATACCTCCCATAATCCGATGGATTTTTTCTAAGAAGATAAGAAGAATAGAAGTATATCTGTATGTAAGAGACACTTGAAGAAGCATAATAAAGTTTCCATGATCCCTTTTTCTAGCTTTCAAAGATAGCTTCCCTTTAGGGCAAATGTTTCTCTTTAACCAGTTCAAGACATGGATAGCATAGAGTTTGCAGGGAATAAATGTAAAAGAAATAAATAAAAATTACCATATCTCTAAACACTAGAGAAGGTGTGAAAAACACTTCTTTGAGGTTGAGGTTGAGGTTGAACACTGAAGGACACAATCTCTGCAGACAATTTCAAAGAATGTGACCACTCAGTGGACAGAAGCCAGGCCCAGGACAGCAACTCTTACATTGTTTCATTGCCTCCCTGAGGTGAGGTGGGAAACAAGAAACCTTTCTCCACACTCCAGAGGAAACACCCTCTGCTTCACTGCTTGGTGCCTGTTGGAAAAATGCATCTTGTGAAACCAAGACCGAAGGGCATTCCAGACACAACCAACCCCAGAGAGGACTGTTGCTAAGGAAAACATGGAATGGAGATCAGATCGCACTGCATTTTAGAACAACAAACCAGTTGCTGTTAAGTCCATTGTGACTCAGGAAACTCATGGAGTCTTCAATGCCTGGTTATTTAGAAGGAGATGCCAGAACTTTCATTTTGAGGCATCTCTGCATAGATTTTGGACTTCTGGCTTTTCAGTTAGTGACTGTGAGTACATTCATTTTTACTTCCACACAGGGATGCCTTAAAACAAAGACTTTAAGCCTTGGAGCAGTGTTAGGATTGCAAATTCTTAACCGCTTTTCAGGCAGGATGTTCTCGTCTATTTCCCAGGAGTGGTCAACTTTGGTCAGTATGTAGATGGCTAATTGGCAAAGGGGGAAACACCTTTGTTAAGGTTTCTTCTAACTATATTAGCTATTTCATTTCTATCTTTTCACTAAATCTTACCTCTTTTCTCCTAAATAATCCTGTGACTTAGAGGATAAACTGTAGAGTTAAGTAAATTCCAAAGGAAAACCTGATAAAAGTGAAAGAAAATTAAAAATATAAGCTCAAAAAGTTAAGAAAAAATAGTGAAAAATGAATCAAGTATAAAAGGAACCAACTATCCCCTGTGTCCTTCAGATCACGGGTTACTGGAGTAGACGCGTTCTTGTTAGGTGCTGTCATGTCAATTTCCACTCACAGAGACTCCATGTGACAGCAGAACTGCCCCACAGGATTTCCATGCTGGGATCTTTATGGGAGCACATAATCAAGTCTTGATCCTAAAGAGGTGAGTTCAAACTGCCAACCTTTCATTTAGCAGCAAACATGTAATCATTGTTCTACCAGGGCTCTTTGAAGCACATTTATCTTTCTAAGCATACATCACCACAATACACAGATAAGTTACATGACATATCCAAAGTAGTAACAATACTTGATATTCTGAGGAGGAAATACTTACTATTAACCTAAAGAAACCAACCAAGACCTATGGAAAAGGCGGTGTTTGTTCATGATCTTGATGCAAAGGAGTAAGTAATGTGGAGGTGGTAGGTATGTCAATGAAATAATATATTTCAGTTCATTGATTATTAGACATTAGCTATTTAGCACATCAACATGTAATATGTATGTGTTTATCTATATGTGGCTATATAGAAGTTAGGGAAGGGGAAAGAGCCTGGAAGGAGAGAGAAAAGATAGTGCAGGGAAGTTGTTTAGCTAGGGTGTGAGGCTGAGAACCAAGGCTGGGGATGCTGAGAATGGAAAATCTTAGACTGGAAAATAGTTTCAAACCCTAGGGTAAAATGCCACACCTTTCAAATCCACACCTAATAAATATCTGTGGTTCTCTTCATTATGATCCAAGCCTGTTCATTGCTCTTTTGCTTTTATTATATGCTTTTAAAAGAAACATTCCAATTACAAAATAGACTACAAACTTATTGTTTCTAGATTAATCCTATAGTCTGCTTCACATCTGTCTATGATCACTACTTATTTAATAATGCAGTTATTTCATCTTTTTCTAGAAATACAATTATGGCTTATTTAGTATCAAAATTAAAATTGAAAGCTTCACTTGAGAGAGCGGGAAATCAGTTTGTGAAGCCATCAGCCACTATGTGACCTTGAACAAGGAGTCTGTTTTTAAACACAACGCATTGAACCAGGTAATTTCTAAAGTCTCTCTTTATTCTAATTTGATTACAAATTGCACATAACCTAGTTCAATGTCAATTATTAATAAATCATGTCTATATCTAGATATGTGATATGGATATTTTTATAGAAATCTCTTACAAGTTGTTAGTGAATATAGTCTACGGAGTGATTAACTTCTGTCATTCACTGGCAAATCACTGATATAAGTTCATGAGCAAAGATTATGGCAGAATCGACAGATTCTCCTGGACTCCTCAGAACAATCTTCTTGTCTACTTCGTATATAAATGTCTAGTAGTTTCAAAAATTAGAAGTAGTCTTATAAAACCCTGAATGTTCTTCTTTCACATAAAAAAGAAAGCAGATTCCTGAAGAATACAGAAATGATTCTGTAGTCAATGTAACTACTTTCTTTGGAGCAAAGGACTGTGGGATTTGTGATGTTCCCTGCCATTTTTGTGTTCCGCTGTCCATCTGGACCCAATTGGTAAAATCTCTTCTTCACTTTCTTCTTCAGTTTCATATTCTTCACTGACTGCATGGAAGAGTGGTTTAGGCCTTACTGCTGCCCTTCGGACTCTGTCAGTGTCCTCTTCCTGGCTGGCATGGCTTTGATAACCAAAGCTGAATGTCTTTCCTCCTTTGTGCAAGCGCTTCATTGGGATTATTTCTTGTGTCAACTGTCTTTCTTGAAGTTGATCTGTTTGAGATTGTGCATTGAAAAGGATGGAAGGGGATCCTGAATCACTGCTATCCTCTAGGAAAGAAGACAAAGGTACAAAATATATCAGAGACTTAGACAGCTAGAATGCACAATCAAGCAAAGTCCTTTTCGAGATTCCAACTCTTATAGTCTACTTTTGTGTCAACATAATTTTCCCTTTCAAAAGTCCCCCTCCCACACAAAGTCAGAGGAGAGGGAAACAGAATCTTTATGTATAATATAATAGACAAATAGAAATTCCTGGAAAGATGTATTTGGAATTAATTTTCCTAGGTGATAAGGGAGTAGCAGTTCATAAAATGGTATCTCAAAATGCTCTGGGGTTGACAAAGGCCATCTTTGACACAATGAAACAAAGCACAACAAAACTGAAAGTTACACAGTACTGCTGCTGTATGAACAATGGTTGGATTTATCTTGGTTTGCTTTTTAATCAGCAATTACCAGAAAGTATTCAATCTCTCACCTCAAATAGCCAATCTTACAGAGACAGATGACAGAGACCCACAGCAGTAAACTGTGGCCAACACAGTGACTAGTCTTTTTCTAAAAGAGCTGAGTGGGGGGGAAAATGCACTGTGGCACATGTTGATAAGGATGATGAAAAGAAGAAATCAGACTTGTTGCTGTCACGTTAATTCCAATTCAAAGAGACAATAGAGTAGAACAGTTTCTAAGGCTGTAGTATTTACAGAAGCAGTCTGCCACATCTTTCTCCTGAGCTGTTGACCTTTTTATAGCTCAATCACTGTGCTAGTGTCATTGCAAATAACTGTCGTTTATAGAGAATTTACTATGTGCCAGCCACTAATCTGATCATTTTACATATGGTAACACCAGAAGTCAGGAAATCAAAAGACGAATCACATTGGGAAAATCTGCTGTCATGGACCTCTCCAGAGTGCTGAACAGCAACAATGTCCTTCTAGATACAAAGGTGCCCCTAATCCAGGCCATGGTCTTCTCAATTCCTTGTTATGCTTCAGAGTTGGATAAGGACTAAGGATGACAAAAGAAGAATATATGCCTTTGAGCTGTGGTGCTGGAGAAGAGTCTAGAACATACCATAGACTGCCAAGAAAATAAATAGGTCTGTCTTGGAGAGGGTGAAACCAAGTCTCTCCTTGGAGTCTAGGATTTTGAAGCTCCACCTCACTTACTTTGGACACATGGCCAGAAGAGATGGGTCTTTGGAGAAGGACATCTTGCTCAGAAGGATGGAGAGACAGCACAGGAGAGGAAGACCCTGGATGAGATGAATTGATACAGAGACTGGGGCAATGGGGATTGGTGCATCAGAATTAATGTGATTGGCTCAGGACAAGGAATGGGTCAGGGCTGCTCTACATAGAGTCACTATGAATAGTAGATGACTTAACCAATAACATCCTATGACAGATTTGGAAGCTGGAGTGGCATCTGCTTCCTAAACAACATGCCTCTGGAAACTCTGGAAACTTTGATAAATGTCAATAGTTGAGGTGGAGTTTCAGGGCTTCTTTTCATAGGGTCTCTATGAGTTGTGCTCGACTCGAAGGCAATCAACAACAACAACAACAAAAATATTTCATTTATTCTTCACAGACTTTTGTTGTTGTTTGTTGTCAAGTCAATAATGACTTATAGTGATCCTATGAACAAAAGACCTGAAGTCTTTTATAACTACATAGTTTCTCCAAGTTCATAGGGTTTCCATAGGTATGGGGTGTAGGAAGTGAATGCCACTTCTGCTTCCAAACCTGTCTTTAACTAGGGGCTCCACACCAAACCCTGTCCACCATGGGCAACCATCATAGCATTTAACACCCGAAAGGCACAAGGCACACCTTCACAGCAAACCCAGATTACCTCAGTACAGCAAACTGAGAGAAGAGAGCTGTATGATTTAAAAGTATGTTCCTCAAAGATGTTTGAGATAAGTAAAAATCAGGTTCTATTTCACAAAAAGGCTAAGATTTCACCTACTCAACTCACTTTTCTGGTAAAGATAGAACTGGAATTTGAGTACAAGCTATATAGCACTGTGGCTTACATTTGGTATTTGTAGTGCTTATAAGGTTATACAGACTGGCAGAGTTTTTGCCTTCCATATGGAAGATCTGGGTTTGATTTCTGGCCAGCACACCTCATACATAGCCACCGCCTAGCTCTCAGTGGAGGATTGAATGTTGTTATGATATAAACAGGTTTCAGCAGAGTTTCTCAATGGTGATGAACTAGGAAGATAGGCTTGGTGATCTATATGTAAAATCTTCCACTGAATATGTAATGGGATGTCTAATCAGCAACCAGTTAAGGGAACGGTGCAGCATTTCATTTGGATATGTAGGTATAGAAATTCCAAGAGTTGAAAGCCAATTTAATGGTATCAGTTAATGTTACAATAGTAACATCACAGTGTCAGAAGTGAGGGAAGTAAGATTTCTAGAGCATTCATATAATGCTTGCTTTCAAAATACTTTCCAAATACCTAAGTCATTCACATGACATTGCCTTTTCCAGATTTCAGTGTGGATAGATCTTCAAGGTATATGTGTGCGTATGTTGTTGTTGTTGTGGTGGTGGTGGTGGTGGTATAACATCAAATCGGAAATTACCCATAGCTAGCCCACCAGCATAGGCATTAAATCTCAAGGGAGAAGATTGCCCATCTTTGTCCTGTAGAGTAGCGAGTGGATTTGAGTCACATACAGCACAATTCTTTCCCCCTAAGCCGCCAGATAGAAAACATCATGATGAACAGGGAAAGGATTGAGACTGTCAACAACTTCAACAACTACTTGCATGCACAATCAATTCATTTGGTACCAACACTCAGGAAATCAGGAGATGTATTGCACTGGGAAAATTCAGGATATTATCTTTTCAGTCACTTGCTGTGTATCTGAGAGCTGGACAGTGATAAAGGATGGCAGAAGAATTATTGATGCCTTGAAGTTGTACCCTTGGAGAAGAGCACTGATTAACCCATGGCTTCCATAAAAGCAAATAGATATGCTTTAGAGAAGGTGCAGTCGGAGTGCTCCTTGGAGACAAAGATGATGGAACTTTGTCTCACATTTTTGAGGCTTGTTTCTAAGAGAGGTTATTCCTTGAGAGGGACATCATGTTGGGGAGGTGAAGGGATGGCAGAGGAGATCAAGACCTTCAACCAGGTAGGTTGACATGGTGACTACTGCAAGGAACTAGAGTGTGTAAGATTATTAGGATGGCAGTCATAAGACAGGGTTTATATGTGTTGTTCATTTCTGTTGTTCATAGGGTGACTATGAGTCTTCCTCAACTCAATGGCACCTAACAACAACAGCAAACCACTAGAGCCCTGCCTCATGGAGGGAGACCAGTGTACCTTCCACCGACCAAGACTCAGCAATCTCTATGTCTTCTGGACCTTTTGATGCTGCCTCAATGTGGGAATCCCTATCACCTGTACCATTATATCTGTAGGTTTGCTTGTCCTTATGGTTTGCTCTTAGGGTAAAATAATTTCTACATCAGTTACTTGTATTGGTAAAGTGCTTTTATCTCAAACTGCTCTTAATAGTTTAGATACATATATGTTTGCTTGTCTATCATCTGCTCTTTTGAGTAAAGTACTAGGGCAATGGGAGTAGGTGTGTTGGAGTCATGGAGACTGGCTCAGGACAGAGAAGGCTTCAGAGCTGTTGCACATAGGGTTGCTATGAGTTTCAGGCAACTCGACGGCATGTATCAAAAACAATATAACTTGTCTGTCAGATACTGTACTAAAGTGGAGCTTCCAGATGAAGACAGACTAGGAAGAAGGATTAGCTATCTACTTCTGAAATAACCAGCCTTGGAAACATAGAGCACAGACTATTAGATATAGCACTAGAGGCTGAGCTCTCATACTGCAAGACAACCAAAATGAGGAGGAAATTTATATTAAGTTCACAGGAACCAAAATTTGACCTTGAGTCTATCCAGCCTGAATTTCAAAACCATCTCAGGAACATGTTTGTGGCCTTGGACATTAATGAGTGAAGACTGGATGAGCTGTGGGAGGGTATCAAGAATATCACCCATGAAGAATGCAAAAGGTCACTACAAAGACAGAGGAGGAAGAAAAGATCAAGATG